TCACAAAACTATGACATGTTGATGAGGTCAGAATTTTCCAACACGTCACTGTGGCGCTGGCAATTCATTTTTTGACTAGATGTTGGAGGGAGACCTGGGGAAGAGGCAGGCTGCTTCGTCTTGAATACAGCTAAACATCCTTCCTTGCAACATCTCATCTGTGTAGATTTTCCATAACACAATTCATGGGCCATGTTTCAGAAACAAAATGGTGAATTTTCTCTTCCCTTCTTTTTGGACAGATGTCAGCCAGTCTGGTGTAGTCATTTGTAGTGAAGAAGAGGAGTTGGTTTAACCCACCCTTCACTACCCAAAGAAGTCTTGGAATGGCTTACAATCACCTTCCCTTCCTCTTCCCACAACAGGCACCTTGTGAGGTAGGTGGGGCTGAGAGAGTTCTGAGAGAACTGTGACTGACCCAAGGTCACCCAGCTGGCTTCATGTGGAGGAGGAGTGGGGAATCAAACCTGGTTCTCCAGATTAGAGTCCACACACTTAACCACTACACCAAACTGGCTCATAGTGTTGGACTATGATCTGGGAGACCCAGGTTCCAATCCCCCCCTCTGCTACAGAAACTTGCTGGGTGACCGTGGTCTAGTCACACTTTCTCTCAGCTTCACCTACCTTGCAGGGTTGTTGCGGGGATAACAAAGAAGACGGGAGAATGATGTTGTAAGCCACCTTGGTTCCCCATGGAGGAGAAAAGCAGGGTATAACTATAAATAAATAAATATATATAAAAAACTAACAACAGTATTTTTAACCATTTCTTCTCTTTATTATGACTCCTATTGCTTTACATGTCACTTTGCTCCCCAAGTTTTGCTTGGATTTACTAATGCATGTAAAAAGGACAACAAGAGGTGCTTCATCTGGCATCTAAACTCACAGAATGCAATACTATGATCACCGCATTACGAGTAAAGCCAGCAGGAAAGTTCTGTCCCTGCTACTGGCCTGAAAGCTCAAGCCCTCTAACCTCCCTCTGAATTGTCTCGATGAATCTCACCTCCAGCAGCAGCGAGTTCCCCAGTTTGTCAAGGTTTTGCTGAATGTGCTCCATGTTCTTCTTCAGCTCGTGGATCCCCTGTTCTAGGCGGGCAGACTCTCCTTGCAGTCTTATCACCCACTGTTCCTCTTCTCTGGCCAATTCCATCAGCACAGTTCTTTCTTCTTCCTCCAGGACACGACGAAGGTGCTCAAATTCTGCCCGGATCTTCACGTTCAGCTCACCAGACATTTTCTGATCAGGGTAAAGACCACAAGAAACAGGTCAAACACATCCATGGGCATGCACAGAGCTATCAACATTCCAGATCCCAATTCTTTGTGGGTGAGAAAAAAAAACGTTTGTCAGTAAAAAAAAAATCACATGGCCCACTTTATGAAAACCATTTGCATCAGTGTCTATTGTCACTGAGCAGTGTCTGCCAGGGGTATGGCTTGCAATATTTCTACAGCTTACAGAACCTTCAAAGGTGAGCTGCGTAGCCCGCTCTTCCTAGGCAGCAGGGCTTCTGCGTTCACCCAGATGCTTCTGGAAGCAGCCCTGATGTTAAACCAACTTTAAAATTGAGTGGCACTCTGACATGACTTCTCATACAGTGCAAAGAGCTGGTCTTGGAAAACAACACCCACTGAATGAACTCTAGTGCATGGATCACAAATTCTCATACATGCCTCAACAGACAGTTTGGGTTGCAGCCTGAGCTGACCACATTTCATGCTTAGGAAAGCTTGGTGCAATTCAGTTCATGAGCCGGAGGTGGACATGCAGGGAATCTGTGACTCCAGCTTGTGAATGACTTGTCAGTAATACCACATTGGTACAATGATATCCCAGAAGTGACACAGCCTGAGAGATTGCCCGGAACTGAAACTCATAGCCAGGTATTCCCTGGCGCCAAAGAGGTTTATTCCAAATTTCATAGCATCATGGTCATAGTTCCTGCCACCTGGCCATTTGTCACAGTCCCCATGCAGGGACTGCCTTGGTGTTTAGTCATGCCAGCCACATGACCACGGAAACGTCTTCGGACAGCGCTGGCTCTTTGGCTTTGAAACGGAGATGAGGACCGCAACCCTAGCGTCAGATTCGACTGGCTTTCGAGCAAGGGAACCTTTACCTTTTACCATGCAGGGAACTGCCCCATGTTACTCTGTGAGGATGACCTTTCCTCATCAGCAGCCAGTGAACAGGATGCAGCTGGCCATTGCCAACCCCCCCCTGTTCTCTTCCTTTCCCTCTTCCTCCCTCAGATTTACCCTTCTCTTTGGCCATCTCCCTCCCACCTCATCCCTCCTCTCTCTAGCAGCATCCACTACTCCTCATGACTTTCTTTTATACCTATAGCCTTGTTCCCTTCTAGGCTCAGGTTCTTGTCTCGCTTCCCTCTTCCCCATTCCTGTAGCCTTTCTTGCCTCTTTCACGACTTCACCCCATCTAATCTAAGGCTAATATAGGGCTGACTATATATATCTCTGGCACAGCTCTGTTTCCAGCCACATGCGACAACTGGGATGGGTACTCAGATCTCTGCCCCCACTAGCCAGGTGCTTGTTCTGGCCTCTGCAGTTTTTCTGTAGCCAGTGTGGCGTGGGGAGCGGGGCTTCTCCACAGGAAATACTGTTGTCTGCTCCCTGGCCTGCACTCCTGTCTGCAACGGTCTGTGAGGCCATTCCCTGATGAGAGTGCTCTTGGTGAAGAATTCCCTCAGGGCTCTACTCAGCCAGGAGAGTCCTTGTCACTGCCACCAATGCTGGTGGCTCCTCACAGAATAAAAGAACCTACTGCTGAGTCTTCAGCATATATAATAGCTATTTCACCTAAGCCAAATAGCAACCCCAAGTATTGGGCCTTTGCCTATGCCTTAGTAATGATATGAAAGGGATATTAAAGTAAGCCAGCTTCAAAAGAACAACATATCCTCAGCAGGCTTTCACAAGATTCACAAAATTAGTATTGTTAGTTGAAAAATTCTAAACCACCAAGAATTCATGCTTTTTCCCTTTTGGCAATGAATTCTTTACAGTAGCAGGCATTTCTTCTGGATCAAATGACCCTTTGATTCTGAGTGTTAGGTAATTTCATTAAGAGAATGCAATTACTAATATTTCTTCAAAGAGAATGAAAGGGGAATTTTTCTACAACCATTTGATCTACCGATATAGTGCCTAGATCAAAGTGTTGTGGCACATCTCAGAGCTCCCCCCCCTTTTGCAGTGTTTTACTGCCAACTCAGAAAGTTTCAGGAGAAACTTTCTGAAACTACAGACAAAAAAATGAGGTGACAACAAAACTGTTGCACAGACTGTAGCTGCATCCACATAATGACGATTTCCCATTTCTTTTTCACTTCCACTGCAAATGCGCAGGCATTTGCACTGGCAATGGGGAGCCAACACAGAAGTTGTGTGAGCACTTTCCTCTCCCAGCTCCCATTCTGACAACACCAGATACCTTCACAAAACAGAAATAACTGCTACTCCTCTACAGAATTCAAACATCATAATGATCTATTGCTGTGCTCTACTGGTTTCTCTGAATTCTCAGTTTTCACTTTGGGAAAAAAAAGTCTCCAGTTGCTTTTGTTGCAGAAATACAAGGGGAAATTCCCCAACTGCTTTTCCCCTTGCATCTCTGCAACTAAAAGGCTAGATAATTACTTTTTATAAAATGCTTTATCTGACATTTCCCTTCAGACATAAGTGAATCACCTTTCAGTTCCATTGGAAGTGCCCTTATTCTTGCGTTACAGAAAAATAAACAGAAGTCCTCTCCCTCACAATTTACTCTTGATAGTGTTTTGTTATTTTGTTCACCTCTGTTTCATCTCTTACCCTCTGCATATCTCCAGTTTACATCTCCCTGATAAACCTGGCATTTCAGATGCTACAGTCATGAGCTAATCATTCACATTATTTATCTTCGATCTCTTATTGCTGTTCCTGTCCTGTGGATGAGGTGACCAGAACAAAACACTAAGGCCAGGTGAGAACACAGCAGTATGCTCAATGACACCAAAGTTGTCTCGGTATCAATATCTCCCTCATTATTCAGTGTTGTTGTTTTTTAAAGCCTCTGCTGCACACTGAATGTGAGGGTTTCCATAGTGAGCCTCAGTCTGTAGGATGAGTGATTACAGTTAATTCTGAATGCAAATTATTCCTTCTGAAGTACACATTTCTTGCAACTTGCCATTGACAATGCCAACTAGCAATGTTTGTTAAACTAGGCCGCCAAAGTTTTTTGATGTTGCTGACAGTCTTCATCCTCAACATACAAAATATTATGTCTCTTGGAAGTTGTGCCAATGTACTCTTTTGCTTATCACTACAATTCTAAAAAGGGGAAACAGAAATGCAACTCGCCATTCAACTCACCATAGTGCCAGGTCTGTCTGGGACACAATTCAACTCATTGAGAAACAGCCTATCATGTTTACAAAAGTTTGTGTCCCCCCCCCCCCCCATTACCTGGAAATCTGAGGATACATGTAAGTATTCCTTCACAAATGCACCTCTAGATGCCTCAGGCAAGGGACCTTTGGTCTGTGCTTGAATAGGCACAAACATGGGAAATACTTTGGGTAGGGATTTGGAGTACCAGCTAGTAAGGGAGACAATATTTGAGTTTTAATATTCATTAAATGTATAAAGACAACAGAAGAAAAAGCAGGAAATGTAGACTGAAGGAGTAATATAGCATGCTAAATCAGGAGAACTACTAAACTAGATGGCTTAGTAATTACATGGCCTACAGAATCACACAAGCACTTGGGAAAAACAAGCAACAATGAACAAATCAGATGATTCCTAGTGAAAGCCATCCCAGTTATGGTAGATGCTTTCTCTCAGGCACCTCTGAAGTCAAAACCTACCCTTAAAGTTGTTATCATCATCCAGGTTTGGGGGACTAGTAAGGAGAACAAGGATTTAGGTTTCTCTCTGTGTGGCACTCAGAACAGAAAGAGAAGAAATAAGTCTGGCAGGGGGCAAGCAGGCTAGGACTGAAAAGGAAGACAGAGCAGAAAGTTTCACTCTGGAAAAATTCCAAAGTAATTAGGGAGGGGGGGGGGAGTTCTTCTCAAAGACCCAGGCCTGGGTTCCCCTAGGTCACCACTCCTCCTTGCCTGAGCAGCACCCAGCCCTGTGGGTCCTTCAGGTTAAAGGCACACATATAAAGCAGAACTTTGTAAAAATATATAAAGGTTTATTCAAACATTTAAAAAGGGATATCGCTATGCAGTACAGTCTCTATAGGTTAATAACAGAGAAATAAAAAAGCTAACTTTTCTAACTAATACATTTAATACCAGGTATTAGATGGCACACCTTCTTGCAGCATAAGAATCCAAGCTGCAGCCTAAAGGGTTCCATATGTTGCAGTCCATCATGACATTGGATAATGTATCAAAGCACACTGCCATAGCATAAGGATGAAGTTAGTATGGCTTCTCTTTGGCCTATATCCTCACTATAGCTTTTTGCCCTCTGGCATCAGGTGGTCCTTGGGATCCAATCAGGAATCCCTTTTGATGGAACTTTCCAGAGGATTTCAACAACTGTTCTTACTTCCCCCCTCCCATCTGATTATATGGCTGAGCAGAGCTTCTTGCGACTAACCGATTATCTCATTCTTAACTCTGGCCTTGAAAGAGATAAGGGTATCTGCAGGAAGGCCCAAACCACAGACACCTGTGAGCCGGAGCAGACCTGCTGATAATCATGTTAACCCTTGAGGGAAATTAGGGTGCTCTGCCTCACAGGTCTCTGTTCTATAATTTCAGATATGGGTTAAACATTGTCAGAGTCCCACTGCTTTGCTGACAGCTTTCACAGTATAGCCACTTTCATGATCCCAGCTAGGCCAAAAACAGGACAGACACTCTTTAACTCTTCCCAAGCCCCAAATGTATTTTCCACTGGCGCTGAACTTATAAATCAATAGGCTAAATAGAACTTCTAGTTTTCAAGGGTCACCATACATATCTGAAACCTCCTATTCTGGAACCATAGAATCATAGCGTTGGAAGGGGCCATACAGGAGTCCCACTGCTTTGCTGACAGCTTTCATAGTATAGCCACTTTCAAGATCCCAGCTAGGCCGAAAACAGGACAGACACTCTTTAATGTATTTTCCACTGGTGCTGAACTTATAAATCCAATAGGCTAAATAGAACTTCTAGTTTTCAAGGGTCACCATACATATCTGAAACCTCCTATTCTGGAACCATAGAATCATAGCGTTGGAAGGGGCCATACACACCATCTAGTCCAACCCTCTGCCCAATGCAGGACCAGCCTAAAGCATCTCTGACAAATATTCGTCCAGCCTCTTCTTGAAAGCTGTCAGTGAAGGGGAGCTAACCACCTCTCTAGGCAGCTGATTTCATCTTTGAACTACTCTGACCGGGAAAAAGTTTTCCCTAATATCCAGCCGATACCTTTCTGCATGTAATTTAAACCCATTGCTTTGGGTCCTATCCTCTGCTGCCAACTGGAACAGCTCCTTGGCCTCCTCCAAATGACAGCCTTTCAAATATTTAAAGAGAGCAATCATGTCCCCCTTCAATCTCCTCTTCTCCAAACTAAACACTCCCAAGGCCCTTAGCCTTTCCTCGCAGGGCTCAGTCAGACCCCTGATCATCCTCGTCATTCTCTTCTGCACCCTCTCGATTTTGTCCACATCCTTTTTGAAGTGAGACCTCCAGAACTGCACACAGTACTCAAGATGAGGCCTGACCAAGGCAGTATACAGAGGGGCTATGACCGCCTGCAATTTCGATGCTATGGCCCTTTTAATACAACCCAAGACTGAATTTGCCTTTTTTACCATCGCATCACACTGACTGCTCATATTTAGTTTACAGTCCACTCTTACCCCCAAGATCTCATTCGCATACACTACTCCCTAGAAATGTATTCCCCATCCAGTATTTGTGCTTGACATTTTTGTGGCCCAGATGTAATACAGTGCATTTATCTTTGTTGAATTGCATCCTGTTTGCAACTGCCCACTTCTCCAGAGTATTCAGGTCTTGTTGAATTTTAAGTTAACTCTATCTTCTTGGGTGTTTGCTACTCCTCCCAATTT